TCTATGCGCACCGACAGGCACAGCTTTTTTTGCTTTCATCACCCCAGAAGAGGAAGAAGGGGTAATTTCTGAGACCATGTTGTATTTAAGCTGACGTTTCGAAAACGTTATCGCTTTCATCGTCAGAGCGTAGTATCTGTTCTCCTGCTCGCGTCAAGTGAGCCTGTCTGACCGCGTGTTAAAACTGCCCGATGCTCGCACGTTGATCGATTGTACCGATTGGTTGCTGGTGGCTGTTTGAATTGTTCTCACCCTTGCGGACGCCTCCATGCGATGTGTCACGTCGTTCATGTGTCTTCTGAGCGTTTCCAGCTTCTTCACTCGCGGTTGTCGGCTGTTGGCCCTGCGTATCTTCATTCGCCCAACCTATTGCTCCGTTCTGAGCAGGGGTTAGCCTAATGCGGAGCGCTTGGTAGGCGGGATGAAGGTTCATCACTCTGTTAAGTCTACCAATAGAGGACCAACTTTCTAGCAGCAGTCTGGCCATTTTGTCATTGGCTCGGCCTACTACCCTTGCTTTCTCAAAGATGAACGTGTGCTTCTTCTGCTGTACGTGGTCATAGACCATAGGCAGCTTATCCTTGCGGTTGATTGCCATCTTGATGCAATCTTGTGCCAAAGCGTCTGCCCGTTTCACCAACATACCTTGCATTGCAGTCATGGCATGGTATGCTGTAGACCACAGCTGATTGTTCTGTCAACGGTAGCGGGTCTTTGGGCCTTAGAATCTGCTGTCTGATGGTTAACTCCGGCCTATGAGGCACACCGATCCCGAATGGTTTCAGGATTCTTGCAGCCGCCTCTGATACATTCTTCACATAAGGGATTGCAAGCCATAACTTGGGGTCCTCTCATTTCGACCGCTCAAGCTGGGGCTTCTTAAAACACTTACGTACAAAGGACTTTGGATAAATGCTGGCCTGAAATAGGGCATGCAAGTACTTAATCTCCCCTTTTTTTCCCACTTCGTCACTGCAGTGTCTGAACGCGTTGGAAGAGAGTTCTAACACAACTACGTTTGTGACCAACGGGGTGGTTACTTCTGAAGTGGAGAATGTGCATGGTATTGGTTGCCTTGCGGTAGACTGTTGCCCTTATCTTTCCGCCTGCCAGATTCGCCACTTGTTGACCTCTTCTTCCATAGTTGAACTGGATGTCAAGAAAGATGGAGTTCTGCATCAGGCATAGTTTTAACACGCGGTCAGACAAGCTCACTTGACGCGAGCAGGAGAACAGACACTGCGCTCTGACGATGAAAGCGATAATGTTTTCGAAACGTCAGCATAAATGCAACGTGGTCTCCGAAATTGCCCTTCTTCTTCCTCTTCCGGGGAGGATGAAAGTAATATTATATCTGGACCTCAAATTTTTGCGCACACAGCTTTTTTGTGGGCATTATCAGTTTTAATATTATATTCTCCTCCCCCCTCGCCCCCATCTCATTTTTGTACTTTGCCCCCATGACTGCAAAAGGTGTTAAAAAAAGTGTTGGTAACTTGACTGTTTCTGGCAGATTTTGGCCTCAATCATTTCTTTTTTCACGAAAAGGCGTAATTGTTTGGCGAGTAATTTAATTGAACCAGTGACGGATCGTTTGCATCGGTGCCCATTTTTACTTGGTTGAAATGTCCTGTTCAATGGTAGTATTTGCGATCGCATTATGAGATTAAGACAATAAATTAATATTTCATTACCACATGCTTCTTGTCGTCTCCTTTTGGAATGTCTACTCCAAAAAGTAATGGAAACGCCTTGAGTCTAATCAGCGCTGTGTACAATGGCAGTTTTAACGACTTCAAAATGTTTCCTGTCGTACCATCGTTTTTTATAGCTCCACTACAATCTAACTTCTTCCCTTCGAGGATGTTCGAGGATACTGTTGAATGTTCTTGTATTTAATCAGCGCTTAAATGTCTGTGTGGTTCTTTTCGACGCACTTCACTCAAGTACCTTTATGCTGCGTAATGAAAAGTTCGCATTGGTCGGAATTTTGGTCCAAAGATAAGGAAACTGTATTAATTTTTGTCTTGTATATCGACACACCTGCATTTGTGTAGTCCCAGCCACGTGAGCTTCGAGCCCGTATAGGGGACGCGTCAGACATCACTGTCATCGATCACACCCCCAAACTGGTTAACTGTAGCGGGCCTCTGACATATGAGAAGGGACCGAGACCTGCGATTTGGAACCCCGGTATTCCCTGGTCTTATGTTAATTCCCAGGGAGATTCAGGTTATGGTTAGCGTATCGTTTTGTCAAATTTTGGGTTATAGTTAAACTTGATGTTGGAGGAGAGTTGAGGGTTAGGCTTAGGTTACCAGTTAGTCTATCTGCTGGCTATCTGGCGCGTCCATAGGTGACGGGTAATGAAACGGGTTTCAGCGAAGGTTAGCTGCAAAATAAATAGACTCTTGGGTCTAGCAAATCAGCAGTTGTAGACCAGCGGCGACAGTGCCATCAGGGCGCGGTGAGCTAAATTCTGATACGCCGACTGCCTTTTGGGATGCTGCAAATTCCGATGACGGCTCTGTGACCTGGTGCCCGCAGGTCGCCACCGCTGCCCTGTGATTACGCTCTTGAACCAAGGTTCTAGAGGAAACAACCTTGAACACACCATCCGAGCCACTGTTGAGGAGCCGCCAGTACTCAAAATCCCTAAGAAACCTTATAAAACTATTCAAAGTGACATGATCGATGCCGACTAGATCGGGCTTGATCATAGCCGCACTGAGTAAGCAAGATTATGGCCCAATTATGTTGATCTTTCCCGGAATTTTTGCACAAGGCCACCTCTTAGCGGAGAGGAGGGCTCCTATTCCGTTATCTTACCGTGAAGAGAAGTGGAAAGTTAGCTGGGTTCTATTGCCTACTTTCCTCACTAAAAATGGGGCAAATACGCGTTTGGCTATGAAGACGCGCCTATACGCATGGCTTGGAAGATTACCAACTAACGACACAACTCGTCTTTTCGGACTACAGGCTTTTCAGGTTGCAGGGCTCCCTCTCAGTGTGACCTTTGTGGCACTCCCGCTTCCTTAGTATCCGATATTAGTATCAGTTTTTGAGAGAAAAATAAGCGAATGCCTTTGAGCTCCCCCCCCCACTGTATGTCTTCTTCCTTCTTCAGATTGAAAACGATGAACACAGAACTATCAAACGACTTGGCAGCAAAACGCCAGGACTGTGAAAGTAAGTCGCTGTTCTGACTTTGCGCCATTCACTTTTTCATCTTTCATCCTCCTTATCTATGCCAATAACGGTTCTTAGAGCAACAATTAAGTGTCTGAAGTTGTACTACTGCGTGACACGCAGGACATCTACCGTACACTGAACCCCGTTAAAGTCCACGAACGGTAACCTGTCTGAAGCCAAAATTGAGGCACGAATCATCTGCAGTTTTAGAGTATCGGCTGTCAGTGTGGGCGAAATTGTGATGACAGTCTTAGCGGCGCCGGGTGTACAATTTGCTATCTTTTCACTGCGAACCAGTTCTAATATTTGAAATGTGCGCTTTCCCGTTGTAGCATTGTTGGCAATGCAACTAGTCACTGCTTTTTAATTTCCCAGAAATTTATCTCTATTTTCGGGAAAATCAACTTATAATACGGCCTACGGGCGCAGACCGAAAGTTGCTATGAATATTTGGCAGGTTAATGAATATTGCGTGGTTATCCCGTTGTGACTGATGGGCTTTAGCCCAAGTACTCATATTTATTTTCGGTCGGCATCTGTAGATTGTAGTATATACTGATTTACTCCGAGTTAAAGATATATTTCTGGGGAAATTAAAAAGCAACAACTTCATAATCGGAGTATCTATCAAAAAGCACATGGGGGATGCCGGGGGACCCATTGATGAGCCGAACTCCTCACAGCTGCGTCACGCAGCGGCGGAATATTGGCAAAACACGTGTTTGAATCTTTAGTTAGCAACCCCAATGCAATTAGTGCTTACAGTTGTAACCTAGTGGTTTCTCGTTATTTTCTGTACTACATGGAAGTCGCGTTTCAACGAGCTGCTTGCATATCGAGGCACATTCATTCCGATTAACTTTGGAAACTCAAGTTAGAGCCGTCGAAAACAGTAAGCATAGCGACAGGCAATCCGTAATGCATAATATTTGCCTATGTTTGATAACATCTTACAAAAAGTGGACCCGTAAATTGCCTTCGACTCAGTAGCTCGACGGCTAACTGCCACGAACTCAAATTTCAGGCCTGCTTTGTTATTAGGCGGGAAATGCTCCTCTCGGTATCATTAACCCCCGCTGAGTCCAACTGGTGTGCGCAAATCTGGTCTTCCATTGTCCGGTTAAGCCATGGAAGTGTTGGTGAGGGTTGCAGGGCGCCACCTGATTTCTTGTAGATCCTGAATTCTAAGGTGGGGTTCTACATGCTCCCCCCCCCATTCACCGCATCTGTTTCAGGATACTGCCAGGTGGCTCTTTTTGATGGCAAACAACAGTTGCTATGTCGTAAAGCAGCTATATCTTGTGGCCTTTTCGTGGAATATCTACTTGTTTGATCGGTGACAAGCCCTTCCTAGGGAGGTACTGCTGCACAGTCCTGGCCTGCTTACTCGCTTACTCCGTTTACTTCGCAACTAACCTCTAAAAGCTGTTCCACTATCTGCCACTTGTAGACATGTCAGCTGACCGATCGGTAGACAAACGTTTCCTAACGCCTGCATAGCCTTGACCTCAATAGAAACATTTCACATAGTAAAATGTGTGATACTTTGTTTTTTTAAAATTTGCGTTGGTCTTTTCTTCTGGAGACAGTTCCACGAAAATTAGTTCGAAGTCATTTTTTTGGTGTTATGACCCTGTTTGAGAACTCATTTTAAGTCTTTCGTTTTGTAGGGGTATCGTCTGGGACTGCAGTATAATTTTTATCACAACCGCACATTACTCTTTGGAAGGGGGTAGCAAAAAGACACAAGACCTACCAAGGTGTGTCTTCTTCACTTGCTCATTCACAAATCACAGACGGGAAGTTTAATAGCTCTAAACTCGAGTTAGGTATTTCACTTAGCCAGACGCCCTCTCGTGAAGATTCGCTTCCCTTCGGCTGCCCTGCGCCCTTCATCTGACCCCTTTAAACTGTCTTCGTTTTTCTAGATCTTCTCGCGACCAAACAAAGCCTGCAAAGCAAACTGGCTAACAGCAGGGAACAGATTCGAGCACTGGATGCCACAAATGACAACTACCGCAAGCAACTTGATGAGGCAAAACAGCTCCTGCAACAGAAGGATGTTCAGGTAATGTGGATTACCCTCAGGCTTTGCTATTCCTACTCCTTCTTAGACAACAGTACTAACAACGTCTACTAATACGTTTCTTTCTTTCTTTCCATTTTTAAGCTTGCCAGACATGTGTCATTCCTCTTTTTTCTTTCTCCACCAAGTGCCGGCTTTACTTTTGGTTTCGGTAAAGCATTTGTAACTTTAAAGTGCATTTAGTGCATACAGTGGGCACAATGGAACGCCATTTTGGACCTACTTTTATGATGTAGCAGAATAGATTTTCAGCTGTTTTTGGAAAAACCGTTGTTGATCCCGGTGGTCGTCGTTTGCTTTTGCATTAAACGAAGTTTCTTTGATTATAGTCTGTACATACTTGACTAAGGTTTTTTTGTGGAAAACCACTAATTGTGAAGTTTTATCGGGAGCTCGCACGCTTGTTGCCGCTTCCCTAAGGACTCTCTGCTTTCAGAATCTCCTCGGGCGTATATTTTTGTAATGCACTGCTCGTTGACCCTGTGAATACTTTGTAGTAGTGTCCTGTTGTCTCCCCCTTATTTACGATAATTCTACTTGTTGAGGTTTCGGGCACAAAAAATTCCACAGGGATGCTGCTGGAGCCTTAAATCACAATTATTGTTTTACATTTAATTCGGTAACTTACTGTCTATATATAGTACGTGACAGTTTCCCCTGGATCCATGTTATCCAGACAGATGGAACCTGCAAGTTAATTGAGAAGAAGTGAAAGTGGTCGCTGGGACAATTATCTCCTGGGACTCGCATGTTCGCTTGGGTTGGCAACCTGCAAGTTAGTCAAATTGCGATCTACTCAGCACTTGACAATCGTTAGTCCTTCTTGTGTCCTTTGAGAAAAGTGCCTTGTTAACAATGTGAGCTTTTGCCAAAAAGATGGTAATAGCTGCTAGGACGGCCTAGCAAACAGCCTTAGCAGGCAGTAGCTTGCAAGCAATAGCCCATACACGGCAGGCTATCGATCGGCCTACACGCGAGCGATCGCATCGTCCAGTC